CCTTCCTTCCTTCCTTCCTTCCTTCCTTCCTTCCTTCCTTCCATGGAATCAGAGATCCTAAGACTTCTAGAGAGTTTCTGAACTTGAGACTGACAACTGCTTATGCCTATAAGACTGCAACCCCTCCACCAGTCCTGTTTTGCCCTCTTATGAAGCCACGGTGGAAGAACAAACGATTTCATTTCCGTTGGCTTTCTCTATTTTCTAATCTGTAAACAATGAGGTCATGGCTGAACCACGAGCAGCCAGAGGGTCAAAGTGAGGCCGGGAAAGTCTACCGATAGCCAACCAGAGCAGGAAACTAATTGAGTTCTTCCTGTGCAGTTGGGAGCTTTGATAAAGACACTTAGAACTAAATGTGTGTTTTTAGACTTCCTTCCTTCCTTCCCCTAAAGGAGTAGGGCCTACAGCCCAGGCCCCCATGTGTCTGAAAAAGTTCCCATCCCCGAGACAGTCCCCCGAGGCAGAGATAACTAGCCCTAGACTCATCATTATCAAGGAGGTTTCCCGGCCAAATAAGATTGGACTTTGGATCTCTGTAGGCTTCATTGGAGAGACCGTGGTCCCAGCTCTGCACTGCTGAGCCAGTTCCTCTGCTCTGTGCTATTGGCAGATCCTAGATCCCACAGCCTGCGACTGTGTATATATTACAAGAGGAATGTGCTAATGCTGAGGAGATGCTAATTTAAGACTTTTGTGTAACCAAATCGGAGCTATAAAGTGAGGTTCTCCAGCGAGCATTCTTGGCTTGGATCCCCCTTGGGTCCAAATCAGTAGCTTCATTATTCATCCAGCTAAGCATTGTTTCCAATTCCTGGAACTGTCTGGGGACAAACCTTGTGGATGGGCGGGTGGGTGGGTGTCCTACCGAGACTCAAGAAGGAAAAAAAATTAAGGGCTGAATTGAATTCCTTCTCCATCTTCTTTTGTTCTCTCGTGCTAACCTTCTGGACCACCGTCTTTCTCAGTTCTTCCTTGTCTTGATTTCCCCTTTCTCTTTAAGGTTCTGGTTTCTCCTTTCTGGCTGTCCAACCCTTCTCCAGTTTTTCATGTTTTTTCCCTCTCTTTGTTTTTTAGGGAGTCCCCGGAGTTCCTGGGAAGAAGGGCAAGATCGGTAGGCCGGTAAAGTTTTTCCTTGTCTATTATGCAGACCTTGTTCCAAATTAAACAGGAGAAGGGTGATGGGGATGGAGATATTGGAAGTTCTTGAGAACGTTGCAGTTCTTTGGGTTGGTTGATGATGGGCCAATGATATGTTGTGGAATGTCGAGTGAGGACCACACAGATAGATTTTATCCATGCTGACCTATCCTTAACTTGGTCCTTCAGGTCTTCTAATGGTGTACTCATCTCTACTGTCATTGAGTCTGTTCACCTTTTTGGTGGTCATCCACTTCTCTTTCCTTCCCTCTTATCTACCATCAGGATCTTCTCCAGAGAGCCAGGTCTTTAACATGTCTGAAGTAGGACAATCTGAGCCTGATCCTTCCCTGCTTTGACCGAAAACTCTGGGTTGAGTTGTTGGTTTCATTTCTTGGATATCTGGTGTTTTCAGAAGTCTTCTCCAATGCCTATGGAGATTCTCCATCATCCAGGTCATGGTCGTCCCAAAGGTGCTTTTTCAAGAGGTAACTGGACTTTCTTTGTTTTTTTCCTTGGAGATATTTTGCTGCTCATCCCAAGAAGCAAAACTGTCTTCAAGGAAAAACAAAGGAAGTCCAGTTGTCTCTGGAAAAAGCATCTTTGGATCTTCTCAAGGGCCCAAGTTCAAACGCATGAATGCTCTTGTCTATGGAGATTCTCAATCATCTAAGTCACGGTTATCCCAAAGGTGCTTTTTCAACTGGACTTCCTTGTTTTACTTTGAAGACGTTTCACTTCTCATCCCAGAAACTAAAGAAGAAGAAAAACAAGAAAGTCCAGTTGCCTCTTGAAAAAGAAAAAGAAAACACCTTTGAAATGTCAATGTTCTTCTTCTCCTGCTTCTTCAAAGCTTTCCTTGTGCCTCTCTCTCGTGTAGAGATCTCCAAGCTTGGCAACTTTGAGACTTGTGGACTTCAATTCCCAGAATTCCTCAGCCAGCCATGAGGGTATCCCTGCTCTAGGGTATCTAGATGTACATTTGATAGTACCACCCCATCTAGTGGAACTTGGGTCTTGTTTCCCCAAATATTAAGCAAAGCTGTAATTCATCAACGGATGAATTAGGGGAAGGGCTATCTAATAAGCCTGAGCCGGCGTTAAGCAGAAAATAGGATTTAATGCAGGTCAATGCAACATTAGACTAAAATGGCAGATGGGTTTTTTCCATCATGGCTGGAAAAATCACCCAACTCCTGCTGTACTTGATAGTCCAGACCCATACAGTGTTGTTCTTCATGTTTTGAACTTTTCCCATCATAAGTGAGCGCTACCCGTATCAGTTGAAAAGGTCTCCGGTTTGGAGGCAGGAATTTGGTTCCAACTCCCAGAGCTGATAATTACCGCTTACATCACAGACTTTGGGTTTGTAATTGTTAAAACAAAATAGAGAAAAGGAAAGCGCACGATCCAAAAAAAAAAAGAAAAAAGAAAAAAAAGAGCTAAACTAAAACAACAGTTGTTCAGTGCAGAAATCTGGTGGGGGATTTTGATGCAACTTGTATTGTATCAGAATTCCCAATGTTCTCCAGATGTTTCACTCTCACAGTCTTCCACTCCAAATCCTCATGTTTCCCTTCTCTCTCTCTCTCTCTTTTTTTTTTTCCAATATAGCACTTAACTTTGATGTTGTTCTTAATGGAGTCTCCCTCCCGCTCTTAGAGAGAAGGGAGACATTCTCTTTTGGCAAATATTTTTCACTCCGGTTGGGATTTTCTCTGCAAACAAACCAAACCAAACCTTCCATTTCTGAATCGTTTGTGTTACAGTGTTATTTTTCTTAAAGGAGAAACCTCTAACGTGCAATTAAAGAGAACCGTTAACAGATATTTCAGAGGGATTTTTGAGCACGCTTAATCTTAGCGTGCATTTGCTAATGGGTATAATTACAGCAGAAAGCCTGTAGTGGAAATAAAGTTGGAAGGGTGGAAGGGAAGCTCATATTTCTTCCCTGATTGGTCTCAATTAAGGAATAAGTATAAAAGCAGAGGGAAAAAATGGTTAGGAGAGAAGTGGATGTTCTGGTTGTCTAGTGTGACAAGCTGGGTTTTTTTGGCCATTGTGGTGTTTCTTCTTTGATTATCAATTTTGCCGAGTTTTTAACCATTCATGTGTCAACACACTTCTGTGAAGGGGTGTGTGGCTTATACTACAACCAGGTACCCTCAGATTAGGTTGATGTTAGCCGGAGAGGACTTCCTCAAGGGGTTGGCCTCCGGATTAAGAGCTGGCTTGCCCCTTGAAAAGAATTGAGTATCTGTTCATAGGATTCTTCCTCTTTGAGAAATTGTGAGAATTTCCAATCTGTCTTCAATCTCCTAGCTAGACAAGTTGAGTAGATAGATAAGTTGAATGGATAGACAGACAAACAGGCAGATAGAGACAGGTAGATAGATAGACCAATAGACAAGTTTAGATAGATAGGTTGAATGTCTAGATAGATAGATAGAAAGAAAGATGAATGGATGGATAGATGGATGGATGGATAGATAGATAGATAGATAGATAGATAGATAGATAGATAGATAGATA